TGTGCATATATTGGTATATTCGTAATAATAATAATAATAATTTACAATTAATTTAATTTTTTAATTAATGTATTTATTTTTTATTTAATATTATTGATGTTTATTTATTTTATAATTTTTTATTTATCTATTTTTATTTCTTATATTGTGTTTGTGCATATATTGGCATACACGTATTAATAATAATAATTTGCAATTAATATTAGTTAATTTTTAAATTAATTAATATAATTTATATAATTGTCACACTCGGGACAAGGAGGCAAACAGGCAGAGTAATTCAAAGGATTAGGGTTTATTAAACACAACGGAGAAAATGCTTCCAACAGAAAGGAATCAAATTAGGATATCTGGAAGCTGAGAACACAGTCTTATCTGTAGTAGAGTACAAGTTCCATGGTCGATAGCAGAGGAATCCTAGGCTTTAGGCAGGCAGGCAGGAGGAACCAGAGTTGAGAGGCTTGTAACCTCGAGACCAGTCGTTAATTTTTAAATTAATTAATATAATTTATATAATAATATATTTTTATTTTATCTATTTTTTTATTTCTTATCTTGTGTGCGTGCATATACTGTATATCGGCATATATATATATGTAGCTTATGAAAATGAATGGTCAGAATTAGATTTGCATTGAAAAACTAATAAAAAACTACTAATAAAAATACATGCATATTTAAGATTGCATGAAAACGAGATCAATTTATATATAATTTATATATTATCCACTTTATTTGATTGTTTTTTGATTTCTTATTAACTTATGTGCGCATATGTACAGGTATAATATTATTATTAATATCAATATTACATACATACTGGTATATACATAGGTGAGTATAAATGTGTCTATGCATGCATACAATATATACTTTTCATTTATCTTATAGAAATGAATGTTCAGCATGTGTGTAATGGAGGGATTTGCTGGTGAGTGTCAAGGGATAGATGAATTTGGTTTGCACTGAAAAACTAATTTAATACGAAATTATTATATATTCAAGATTGCATGAAAACAAGTCTTACTTTCCCATAACTTTTCAAACTGATCTCATTTCCATATTGAAAAGATGAAAAACAGGAGTGATTGTGCTGCAGAAGGAGTTGTATTAGTGCGTGTTGCGTCGGCGGCGCTCGTGCAGCGATGTGTTTTATGAGCGCATGAGTTTCTCACCGTCTCTAGAGATCACTGGGCAACAGACAGAGTCTCTCATCTGTGAAATCAGACTGACCCAAATGTGATTTAGAACAGAAACATTTCTGATTATTATCAATGTTGAAAACAGTGTTGCTGCCCGATATTTTTGTGAAAACTGTGATACGTTTTATTTTTCAGGATTCACAGATGAATAGAAAGTTCAAAAGAGCAGCGTTTATTTGAAACAGAAATCTTTTGTAACATTATAAATGTCTTTACTGGCACTTTTGATCACTTTAATGCAATCTTGATGAAAAAAAGCATTAATTTATTTAATTTTTTAAACACATGAACAGTTTAAGCCAATAATCGTTCCTGTTTAGCCGATAAACAACATTAAGACAGATGAGAAATATTGTATCACTGACTTCTGTGAATAAAGTGCAATCTCGTAAAAAAACGTATTTGCATTAAAATGAATGCTGATGGTTTAATTTAAATATGCATGACAGACAGAGCTGGATTTAACTGAATTTTGAGTAGTTTGTGAATAAAACAGGTTTTTGTTTTTGTTCTCTGACCGCATGTGGAAACACTTTCATGTGAAAAGCTGGAAATGCAACAGTTTAGTGAACCAAGTTTGCATATGTGTTATGTTGAGTGTCATATTTGATGCATCAGGCTTTTATGGCTCATATAGTCTGGTATAGAGAGGATATGGAGGATTTACTTTATTTTATAAAGGCTTTTATGGCTCAGTTTCATCAGGGTTATTATAGTTAACTAAAACTGAAACTAAAATTAAAACTATACAAAAAAAAAAAAAACGTAATTGAAGTATAATAAATGTCAATTAAAATAAAATATTAAATTATTTTTAAATTATATATATTAATAAAAAAAACAAAAAAAAAACCAATGTATTTTTATTTCTGCTAGTTGATGCACTAAAATAACTAAAACCGAAACAATAATTTATTTTAAAAAATATAAACAAAAATGACAAAAACACACAACAAAATTAATAAAAAAAAAAATATATAAAAATAAAATCCGATTCAAAATATTCAAAGTAATGCTAAAGTAACACCAAAGTAAAAATATGCAATTTGCTGCAGATGCTGATAATTATATGATGAAATTCTGATGCTTGTAATTAGGGATGCACCGATAGGATTTTTTGGGGCCGATACCGATACCGATTTTAACAAACACTTATTGGCCGATTCCGATACCGATATTTGTCACTTCCTCTCTTATTTGAAATTTTGGCATCAAAATAGATAGTATTTTGTTTTAAATCAGCAAAGTTCAAAAACACCTGCATTAAATTATACTAGCAGTTTTATTGCTGCATCATCAAATAATTTCTAATGAACATGGATTGGATCCATTTAACATTCAGCAGGCCTACATAAATACAACAGAACAAAGATACATATTAAATAAACAGTGCTTTTTAGGTAGGTTTAACAGTTTAAAGGCATGAGATCTGTATATATTTGTTTACTGTTAGTTGTAATGAGTGTTTTGTGTAATTCGCTGTATGTTGATGATAATGCAACTGAGAGAGAGAGTTTAATGTGCACTTCTCGTGCTGTGTTTTGTTTAGCTCTTATGGTGATTTTTTTGGAGTGAAAAAGGACCCAATAAACTTAATGAAACATCAGTAAAATTTGGGTCATCATTCAGATGAGGTCCGCTACACTTATGAAGGTTACAAAAGTTATTTAGTCAAGAATAGTGTGCCGTCTTTTGTTATTTGATTAGCATTAAAGTGCTAGGATTATGCAACAGACATTATACAGCTCAGTGCCTTCACGCAGTTAATTAATAAACCATCGGTTTGTTATATCGGCCTTTTTTCCTTTATATAGCCGATATTCCGATGGTTGTAAATTGAGGAAAAATCGGCCGATAAATATCGGTGGCCGATACATCGGTGCATCCCTACTTGCAATGTAAATCAATGAGATCTTTATAACAGTATAGCAAATACTGACATAAAATGATCTAAATATCAGTGGTCGCTGTATATCTCCAATAATATGTCTCCTCAGAAGATGTGAGATGTTCTGGAGGCTTGTGAAGATCATTCCTCCGCTGAGGAACAGTGAAAGTAAAGCTTCTGGAAACAAACGCTCCTCAAAAGATCCTGAGGACATTTTAATATTTTTTGTAAGTTTAAATATGTATGAGATCTCCATTACCAAGGCGGGACTCTTATTTTGACGGGTTTTCTAGTCTACGGAGCAGCTATATGGGTAATGAAAGCATGCAGTTCTTCGGATTTAAAGTTTGTCAGTTTATTAAGCACCCCTCGAAAATGCATGAGATCTGTATTTATTTGTTTACTGTTCGTTGTAATGAGTGTTTTGTGTAATTCGCTGTATGTTGATGATAATGCAACTGAGAGAGAGAGTTTAATGTGCACTTCTCGTGCTGTGTTTTGTTTAGCTCTTATGGGGTGATTTTTTGGAGTGAAAAAGGACGCAATAAACGTAATAAAACATCAGTAAAGTTTTGGTCATCATTCAGATGAGGTCCGCTACACTTATGAAAGTTACAAAAGTTATTTAGTCAAGAATAGTGTGTGATCTTTTGTCTTTTGTTATTTGATTAGCAGACAGCTGATTATATATTTTGTTATAGATAAAGTGCAGACAGCAGCGCTAGGATTATGCAACAGACATTATACAGCTCAGTGCCTTCACGCAGTTAATTAATAAACCATCAGTTTGTTATATCGGGCCTTTTTCCTTATATAGCCGATATGCCGATGTTTGTAAATTGAGGAAAAATCGGCCGATACATCAGTGCATCCCTACTTTAAACCTTTGTTAATTAATTGTCATATGTATCAACTAATGTCTTATTCGAATACTAATGTTTTAATAACTATTATTATGCAATATCATTTATATGTTTGCAATCTGAACAAAAAAAGCCTATAAGGGTGATACTTAGATTACAACATTAAACTTGAGAAAGATACATTTATCCTAAATACAATTAATAAAACAAAAATGTGTGTTATTTGTATAAAAAAAGTCCAAATATGTTTAGTATTTAATTTAATTAATGCACTGATTTTTCTACAAAATGATTGATGGAGAATCAAGTAAAGCCGAGCTGCTTCAGTCCACCTCAGTATTCAGATGAGATGTAAACATGCAACGGAATATTAAGTGATGCACAACCATATGGATGTAATATGACATTTGCTTAAATATTAATATGCACATAAAGATGTGAGATAAACAGAAGGTAACCTTCATCTTACCTTCGTCTGTTTCCTGAGCGTAAAGAGACGACGGCAGCACATCAGGACAGAAAAAGAACAAAAGACACAGTCAACAGACAATAAATGACTCTCAAGGAAACTATAAACTACTGTTTAAATGCTTGGGGTCAGTAAAACATTTGTTTTTAAATTAAATTAATACGTATTCATCAAGGGTGCATTAAATTGATCAAAAGTATCAGTAAAGACATTTCTAATGTTGCAAAAGATCTCAAATAGCCTAAACGCTTTTCTTTTGAACTTTCTATTCATCTGTGAATCCTGAAAAATAAAATGTATCACAGTTTCCACAAAAATATAACGGTTTTCAACATTGATAATAATCAGAAATGTTTCTCGAGCAGCAAATCAGCATATTAGAATGATTTCTGAAGATCATGTGACACTGAAGACTGGAGTAATGATGCTGAAAATTCAGCTGCGCATCACAGAAATAAATTACAGTTTAACAGACATTCACATAGAAAACAGCTGTTTTGAATCACAATAATATTTTGCAATTTTTTATTGCACTGGTACTGTATTTTTCATCAAATAAATGCAGCCTTGGTGAGCAGAACTTCTTTTAAAAACTATAAAAACTGCAACCCCAAACTTGTGAACATTAGTGTACATTTCTTGTTCGTCAAATAATCAATTACCAACTAAAATAAATGTAATTTTCCATAATTTCATTCACAAATGTGTTTTATGATTTTTAAAATTAAGATAACTCCACAATCTTTGCTTCTGAAAAACATAATGTGTGACAAAACAGCAATTAAAATATTACATTTTTTAATGTTGTATATATGTGACCCTGGACCACAAAACCAGTCTTAAGTGTCAATTTTTTGAAACGGATCTCAACACTTCACACACAAACCTCAAAAACATCGACAATCAACAAATATCATGACAAGATGAGCTTATAAACACCACAACAAATCAAACATGACAAAAACAAAACAAAACAACATAAATACAGTCAGCAAACAACAATCCTATCATTTCAATGCTGTAAAGCTCTTTTTAAATGCTCTTACGGTGTGAAAAATTCATTTTCAAAAGCCAAAATAATCCAAGTAGATATAATCTGCATGCATAATATTTATAAAAAAAACAGTATTTCATGTCAAACACCCAGTCGCTTTTAAATATGGTTCCTTTCTTTGTTCAACACATAAAAAAGAAAGATACTTTATTAAAACTGGCATGCAACCAGCACTTTCCAGATTGCGTGACACTGGTCATTTCTTTCCCCTTCAGACCTCTTCAGTGCTTAATTAACGCAGGTCTTTAGTGTCTCCTTGCATTACGCTGCTGTTCACTGAGCTGTTCAGTGGTATTTCCTGACTGATCAGCCTGTGAATGCACTCATAAAGCACACAGATTTAGGCCTGAATGTCGCAACAGATCTGCAGTGTAAACTTCAGCTCCAAAACTTTCCTCCCTCTCCTAAATGCAATGAGAACTGGGAAAAATGCATGCAACTGTCTAGCATGCATGAAACACTTGCACAAAAAAGAGTGCATTCATGAAAACATAGCTAAAATGATTGTTGCAAAGCATTGCTGCATTAGAACTGTTGCATGCAATGCTGTGGTAAAATTTTGGAAAACTGCATCTGCATTGTAAAAAAATGATTTTCCAAAGTTATAAATAAAGATTAAATACAATTTTAGTCGTTCTACTTCGATTTGTCATGTTTTAATTCAATAGCTCACTAGTTTTGGAAGAGATGTCTAGTATTACCAACACCACAAATGTTATCCCAAGCTCCTTCAGAAGAACTCAAAAAATCTCTCTAATTACTTTCCCATACATATTCGATTTGATTTCTAAATATAAAAACCAAAAGAAGCGCTCAGACCTTTACAAAAGTAAATTCTGAGCAAACATATTTCTGAGTTACTCAAATGAAATAGAGGTCAATCTTAAAGAAGTGTTGTTTTATTAGCATTAATATACTATAATAGTTTTTGTTCATATTGAATTTTATTGTATTTTTATATTTTCTTTTCTTTAATGTTTTGTTAATTGTATTGTTGAAATGTTTCATTTTGTTTAAAAAAAGTTACATTTGTGCTAACTTACTTTTAGATTTAGTTTTCTTTTATTTTTTGTTAATTTTTTTGTTAACAATTTTTTTTGTTTGAAAATGTTTATTTTATTTTAAAAATTGTTTAATTTTGTTAACTTATATATATTTTATAATATTATTTTTTTTGTTTTTTGCAAAAAAATGTTTTTTTTTGGTTTTGGTTTTAATCTTAATGCTTTAGTATAGTTGTTAAATTTGTGTTTTTCATGTCTATATATGTATTCATTTTATTTCAGTTTATTCATTTAATTTAAAAAATACAATTTTGCTGTGTTTTTGTCATTTTATTTTTTTTAAGTATGACTATATAGTATTTATACTTTTTTATTTATTAGTTTGTTTTTTTAGATTTAGTACTTTAGTACTTCAATTTAAACTAAACAATCAGTAAAAGAAAAATACATTTTTTACAATCTATTTTATTTGAGTGTGAAAAGGTGACTAGTTAAAATGCTTAAAATAAACATTCCTTGTTCACACATAAATTATATGTAACATTTTTTGCTGATAAACACAGACACAATATGCATCAATATAATTTAAAATTTAAAATAAAATATTTAAAACAATAATAACGTAGTGTAAACTCTACAAGAACAGAACAGACATGATATTTACAACATTGTAATGGTTTAACTAGTACTGTACCGTTAGTCATGGTTAAGATATCATCACAACCCTATCAAGCACTGAACTTCACATTACATCAATGCAGCAGCATCTCAGCCCAGAATTACTTATTAATGCAGGCAGAAAGGTGAGTAAATTAACAGCACATTTTAATTTTTGGGTTAACTATCCCTTTAAGGCTTCTGAAAACGACTTGTTCGCAATCAAAACCAGAATCTTAAAATATCACTGCAGCAATTCAAACGTTTGAAATGTTCAAGAATTCAAACTTTTGGAATGTTCCAAAAAGGAAGCTCTTGCTACAATGTTTCCAGTCGCGACTGACACTTTGGAAAAACGGACCAAAAAATATAAATGTTGCAACATCAAATTTATGTTGCTTTCCAGCACTGACTAAAATTTCAGTGATTAATTATTGGTTGTTTACTGAGAAACTGCATGCAAACCAAATCCATGCTGGTATGGAAACCATATGTTTCACACTCTATTTATATTCATCAGAGCAAAGGAGAGGACACGACAAGCCACATCAGGAAGGAAGAAACTTGCCCTTCCCACAGAGCAATCAGTCTCACAGCTAAAACAAAGTTTTAAACTACAAGCTACAGCGTCCCGCCCAGAGCTTCTACAGAAATTAATACTTTTATTCATCAAGGATGCGTTAAATTGATCAAAAGTTTTCTATTCCAAATGAATGCAGTTCTTTTGAACTTTCTATTCATCTGTGAATCCTGAAAAATAAAATGTATCAGTTTCCTCAAAAATATTGTGCAGCGCAACTGTCTTCAACATTGATAATAATCAGAAATGTTTCTCAGCATATTAGAATGATTTCTGAAGATCATGTGACACTGAAGACTGGAGTAATGATGCTGAAAATACAGCTGCGCATCACAGAAATAAATTACAGTTTACAATATATTCACATAGAAAACAGCTGTTTTAAATTGTAATAATATTTAACAATTTCACTGTATCTTTGATCAAATAAATGCAGCCTTGGTGAGCAGAAGAGACTAATTTAAAAAAAATCTCACCGACCCCAAACTTTTGAATGGTAGTGAACTTTTCTGATTATTTACCAACAAAAAGCAATTTATTTTGCCATAATTTCACGGATGGATGGATGGATGGATGGATGGATGGAT